AACAGGGTATTACACAATTAAATATTTAAATTTCACAAAATAATATAGAAATAAAGTTTTTAATTTTTTATTAAATAAATTACAGAGATTAAATAAATTCCATTTTTAAAATAGGGTTTTCTGGTGGAATGGGAAATTATGATATTTCTCAATTTATTGTAAGTGAAATGCTATTTTATTTGAAAAGTGGGCAATATACTAGCATATTCTCCTTTACCCTTATTATTGATTTAGACTATACATTGAATTTCATAACCAAATTTCACAAACACTACTTAAATCTATACCTATTCATAAACTTTGAAAATTATTTAACCGATGACCACTTTTATGAAAACACAGTAACATGCATTGGTCATCCTTCTTAATGCCACTATTTAATCTACATTATTTGGAAAATATTTATGCTGGCTAGAATGTGTTTGCTTCAGAACATGTACTGAGAGCACAGAATTAGGTATCAAAGAAAGTATTGAGTCATAATCCTTTGGCATTTCCAACAGAAGACACAGACACAAAGGCATGAATCCATTCATGATGTTCAAACATTTCTTGATAATTAATATTGAGAGTTGCTGTCAATCAGGAGCAAAACAGTTTAAGTGTTTGTGCTAAATTAAATTTATCAATTCAGAAGCCAAATAGAGGATAATATTTTACATCTTAACAACCAAATGCTTTTTTCTGTAATGTGAATTAGTAAAATACCCATATCATTTGGCTTGTAATTAATATCCTTAAGGATAATAAGCTGTCAGACTGTTTTGTCTGGAGTTAAGATAATTCACAATAATTTCCTAAAAATTAAATTATAGGGTAGTTGTTATTTATACATAAGCTGATTTCTTGCTCGGGGAATTCCAAGATTTTTTTGCACACTGGCTGCTCCACTCCAGTATGGAAGCACCTACAGTTAGGGTTCTGTAAAAAGATCAGGCGATATTTAGAACACGAACATGTGCTTCACAGACTACAGGGCAGATCACAAGCCTTTTGTGGCAAGTAGGGCCAGGCATTATTCTTTAGTTAAATAATAGAAAGAATCTATTATGACTCTATGAAAGACTATATGGTACAGTTTGGGGGAAGTACTGGTATATGCTTTTCGATATCTATAAAATCTTACTGCTGCTTACCTGATAACTATTTAAAGGGGCTTCTCATTATACCCATACAATGTCATTTCTCCTGCTGCTAATAAATCACTGGTTCCAAGGTCCAGTAGAAAATTCCAAGGTGCTTCCAAGAATCCTTGGGTGTCTGTCTACTAGTGGGGCAAAATACTCATTACAGTTGTGCTGATAGACTCTTTTTAAAAAGTGCAGTCAACTTTTTCACCTCTTCTTAGTTACGTAGGAAGTGCCAAATCTGCTTATTTCAAACCTGTTATTTCTTCAAGATGACAGTGAAGAAATGCTTATCAGGTGAAAAAATAAACTACAGTATGGACCAGAGATTTGAATTCTGATGTATCATTGATCTGAAGTTTTTGGATGCCTTGGTGGAAAAACCCTTTTGTTTCTCAAAAGAGTAAACCAACATTTTGCCACCGGTCACTGTGCAGCTGAAGATGGAAGATGTGCAATCGTTTGAAAGGACTGGGGAGAGCTGTGGAGCACATCTCCTCCCCCTTACTGCCTGGTGGTAGGAAGGCTGTGCAGCCTTGAAGCCAAGTGGGCTTCCGTGACTGTGGTCAAGGTACTCTGAACCTCTGTGTCCCCACATGTGACATGAAAAGAATAATAAATCATTCACAGATTGGCTGGAAGATAAAAAGAAATCATGTCAGTGAAGAAAATAGCTAGGATTTTGGCTACAAATCTGCCCAGCAATAAATGCTGTTACCTTCTCTTTCCACTTGTAGGAGACACCTCCTCTTTCTCCCCACAAAGCATTTCCCACAAGGGCCACCTGGCCACAGCAGAATGGCACTGGGCCACACTTTGTCAAGGGGAGGTACCTGCTCACTATCGAGCTAGGGAAAGTGCTAGAGGGAGAATCTAATGTGTTTTAATGGCAGATACTTTATTTTACATCTGAATGTCTCTATCTGTTCACCCCCCTCAGCTAGTTTATATATATTTTGTGAAGATACATATATATCTTCTTCACAAAACCTTATATGAGGCAGGTATGCCATTTAATGATAGAAACTAAGTAGTAAAACATGAGCTAAATACAAAAAATTAATTTTGTAAAAATTAGATAAGAATGACAGGGGTTTCTTTGCTTTCTCAAACAGCCACATATTTCAAAATAAAGAGCCAATCTCTTTAAAAGAAAATGAGCTGACTTGTCCAAGATCACAGTTAATAAGTGTTTTTCCCAGAATAGGCCCTAGGTTTAGCAGGCTCCAAAGTCCAGACAATTTCTCTACATTATACCCAAACACAAATATTTTTCTTGTACTTCCACTGTGTCCTGTGGTTCATTTTATGTAAGACCACTTCAGATCAGTTTGTCTTGGCGCTGAACAAACAAGTCAGGTAAAAGCATGATAGGATCAAAATATTTTTTCAATATATAAAGCACTTGTTTGATGTTGAGAATAACAGTCTACCCAGTATGAGATAGTTTTATTTTGTTTTTTTTTAAGGTTTCAATGAAAGAAAGTTTGAAAGATCTAGCACACTTATTAAATATTTCTAACCCTGAAAGATTGTTGGTAGCTTCTCTTTATTCTGCCAACCCCAAAATCCACCTGTGATGTTCATATTGGATCCCTATTAAGATTTCTATTTGTTCATTCTGTAACATCTAAGGAAGTTTTGTTTACAGTAAAATAAAAACTCTGCGCAGTGAGTAGGCCCACGTCCAGTAGCCAGTCCTGTAAGGTCTTTGCCTTGGGACTTCAGATTACATTTTCGTCCACACTGTTACTGCTTCCTTTGGTGCGTCAACTTTCTACATATTTCACACTTCACACTCACACACCTCCATGCCTTGGCCCATACAATTTGCTTACCGTGGATATTATCCTTCTCTCACTCTCTGGAAGTCTATACCCATGCTCTCAAATGCCACATTCTCCAAGGAATCTCTTGCAATCCTGTTATCTCAGCTCTGAATTTATATAGACTCTTCTGATTTCAATTTATTCAAAATTTAATCAATCACTCAACAAATGTGTATTGAGTTCACTTTGGTATTTGATATTATTCTAGTGGTTGGGGTTTTGAGAACACCTTGAAGTAGTTGGTGGATCCTCGTATTTTGGTTATGTATGAACAGGTGTTATTTCCTCACCTAGTCTGAAAAGTACCTGAGGACGAGGGATTATGAGTCATCTCTGTAATCCCCACTATTTTCCACATAACAGGTGCTCAATAAGTACTGTGTAAATAAATGTATTATATGAGTAACAAATGAGCAAATAAAAAATGAGTAAATGTTAATACAAAGTTATGATTTAATTGTTCCCTTTGTAAAACAGATCATTGTAAGGTTTATTAAATGTATTAATTTATTAAAGAGTAGGAGTAATATTTGCCAAGTACCTGACACATCTTTGGTATTAAATCAGTGGTAGCCATTATAGCCACAGTAACTGTGCAAAAACAAAAGAATGATCTAGTATACCAGTGGGTACTTTTGTATTTAATAGCAAATAAACAGGCTTGAGAAAGAAAGAAAGAAAGAAAGAAAGAAAGAAAGAAAGAAAGAAAGAAAGAAAGAAAGAAAGAAAGAAAGAAAGAAGAAAGATAAAGGTAGGAGCCTACAAGTGGGTTCAAAACAATAGGAAAAAAAGTTCAAAGAAACAAAAAAGGAACAAGAATAATGAAAATAATCTACCCAAATCCTAACTAGGATTCATATCACCATATATCTTCACTGCTCCAATGACCAATGATGTAAAAACATGTCTTGCACAAACACTTATAGAATTACAAGATTTTGATGGGAAAAAGTTAAAAAAAAAAACAAAAACGGAACTAGAATAATGAAAATAATCTACCCAAATCCTAACTAGGATTCGTATCACTATATGTCTTTCCTGTTCCAATAATCAGGTATGCAAAAACATTTGTCTTGCATAGTCACTTCTAGAATTACAAGATTTTGACAGAACCACATGAGATACAGGTTCAGAAAAGTTTACCACTTCCTTGTTGGAACATTCCTTTTGTTACTTAGAACAAAGGTTACCACCAGTAAGGAATGGCACATAAATCCTAAAAAGGAAATAATAGACAATATAGCAACAGAGTATTTGGTAGAGTTTACCTGGGTTGTAAGTACATTAGAACAATGAGAACAAATTTTAAAATTCTCAAAGAATAGAACTTAAATAACTACAAGTATTACCACATATATAGCAAACTATATATTAATAAACTCAATACTTTAAAATTCAATGTTTGTTAAAATTATGGATAGCCTTATAAAAGGAAAATTAATTTTATCAAAAAATATAGACTTAAAGTCTAAAAATCTCTCTATCTTCATAGGTATGATGTCCTGATTATCCTATAAACATTTAAATATGGTGCCTACATAATATAAATGCTGAAATAATTTGTATAAACTTACATGGAGTCAAGGAAGCTATGGTCTCACACATAGTTATCACTATGATAAAACTATATTCTGGTGTGGTATGATAATTCACCTCCCTTTATTGAACATTACTCTACTTTCAGAAATATAAATTATCTGAACAAGCAACAGACATCAACAAATCATGAGCAAAAGAACAAAACCCTTATCCAGAATTAACCCCCTTCACTTTCTGAAATTTGAAATTTATTCTTTTGCATTTTAAGAAGCTTTTTGTTCAAGAGTTCCTTATTAAAAAACAAAAATCCCTCTTGAAGGGGAACTCTGCATCATTATCTCTAATAACATAGTTGAAGGTAGTTCATAGCTAAGAACAAAACCGTAGAAGAATGGGATAAGCACCTGGAAGCAAGGAAAAATGGTGAAGGAAGGGAAAGGGTGAGCTACAAGGGGAAAAAAAGGAGAAGGAGTGTAGGGGAAAGGCACAAAGGAGTCCTGGTTACCTTAAAATTTCTCCAGCTGGGCTTTGAAGCCTGCATACATTTGCAACCGTTTTCCTGCACACCTAGGCATGATCTGGGTTTAAAGCACAACTTCCACTCTGGTTATAAATATCCTACATGTTAAGCTTGGTTGATGCGGTAGAGAACACCGGTGGGGTAAAGCAGAGCAAAGGGCACAACAGAGGCCATCTGTTTCTCTGACGCCTCACCAGCCTTCCTCAGACTACCGGGTCCTTAGGAACCCTTCTCTCTGGAACCCTTCTGCAGAAATGCCACTGGGAAATAAAGGAGGCCATGAAATGAACCAAACCCTTTGAGTTCCAGGAAACTCAAACTCAGTTTTTGGAACTTTATTTGAAGTTGGGTTTATCATTAGTATGCCAGGAGGTATCGTCTAAGTGTAGTCACTTTCATAAATTAAGCATTTAAAAGATTTCCTGTTGTAATTTTGAAGATCAAAAAATCACCCAGGCTGGTGTAGCTCAGTGGATTGAGCACAGGCCTGTGAAACAGACAATCGCGGTTCGATTCTCAGTCAGGGCATATTCCTGGGTTGCAGACCGGTTCCCTGCAGGCCAGTTCCCAGCAGGGGATGCACGAAAGGCAACCATACATTGATGTTTCTCTCCCTCTCTCCTTCCCTTTCCCTCTAAAGATAAATAAATAAATAAAATATTTTAAAAATCCAAAAATCAATAGGACACCAAGAGCTATTGGAGTAGGACCACTGGTATAGCGGGAAGAACTGACATTTTGGAAACAGAAAGACCTTTGCTAGGTTTTTGGCTCTTTTTTGAAATTTTGCATCCATTTCTTAACTTATTTTACCTTCAATTCTCCCCTTTATCTATAAAAAATAGTATCTATTTTGCAATGATATGAGGATAGAGAAATGCATGAAAAGACCTTAATGTGTTATAATACCTGTCAACACAATACTTCAAAGTTTTTAGCTGTGATTATTAACTCAACTACATTAGCCAAAGTGTAAAGTGTTTAAAAATATCCACTTTGGCCTCACCATGATTCTCAGACTTCTGAATTTTAAAAAAAAGTAAAAAGTAAACCAATAGGACAAGATGTTTAGGAGATTCTAATACCTACAACTGGTAAAATACTGCAACTGTAGAATTTGTCTTGTAGAGTGTATTTGGATATATTGGGTTGGCCAAAAAGTTCATTTGGTCTTTTCCATAAGATGGCTATAGTAGCACTTAGCTGTCTTTAACTTCATTTGAAAAAATTTTGTTAAATTGTACTATAACAGTTGTCATTTCAGCATGCATTAAAAAGACATCAAAATTGGTAAGTTTTCATGCAGACTTTTTAATATTGGAGATGGAAGAAAACATGCAACATTTTGGGCATATTATGCTTTATTATTTCAAGAAAGGTAAAAGTGCAACTGAATTAGAAAAAAGATTTGTACGGTGTATGGAGAAGGTGCTGTGACTGATCAAATGTGTCAGAGACCAGTTGAACTTGACAGTAATCAAATCAAGACATTAATTGAGACCAATCAATGTATACCACACGAGAGCCAAGATACTCAAAATATCCAAATCAATAAAGTTATTGGTGAAAATGAAAAACACATCTTTTATTTTACAGAAAAAATTAAATGAGCCTTTTGACCGACCTTCCTCACTTTATCACTGCAGACATCATCACACAACAATGGAATGGAAGCTCACATGTTTCTATTTTAAGACATAATGTGCTGAGACTCTTTGGTATCTTTTGAGTCTCACATGTGTTGTTGCCCTTTGCGTACATTTGAGTTTAGGAGCCAAATCATTTAAAATGAATAATGCACAGCTTTATCATTAAAAAATTGAGCTTGATCTCTGTAACCAGTCATCTGAGGTAAATTGTTTTTTATCTATAATATAGGAAGTCATCCAAATATATTATTTACATGTAAAAAATAGTTATTATTATAATAACATTTTACTATATGTTTTTATCTGAAACTTTGCCTCGGAAAAGCTTAGGTATTATAACCACCTACACACTCTTCTTTCTAGCCCTTTCCAGAAATATATATTTAAAACCTAATTTGGCCTGTGGAATGTGACCACAACTTCCAGGAATGCGACCATAACTTCCAGACACAGGTGAGACTTATTAACGGGCTAAGATCCTTTCTTGGCTTAAGAGTTAGCAAATGATCAGTGTCCTAAATGGAAAACATTAACCTGAAATACAGTCTACCCTCTGCTCACTTTTGTTCCAAATAAATATAACAAAAAATAGTATAGCAAAATTAAAAATATGTCTACTTCTCAAGTGTATAATTATGGCATTGTAGTTCTATTAGCAGTTGAAGTGGAGTCCTTGTGGTGTTATGAGGAAAAGAATTTCCTGAGACCCACACGGGAGGATGGGGTTCCATGGTAAACTTTACTGATGGTGTAAAATTAAGGGGGTTCCTCTCCAGACTTCCCAATGTCCCATCTTCGGCCATCTTGCCATGGAAAATGTCCAGTCTTGTCTTCAGTAGGGCCAGAATAAAGGCCACTGCTCAGAGTTTCTGCTCCCTATTATGGTCACACCATTTGCTGTGAGCCCGGGAAGCTGCCAGACACAAAATCTAGTGCTGCTGGGCAAGACAGAACGCGTGAATGCAGTGGATGAATGTGAATCACCAGCAAGAGAGAGCTATTTGTTCCCGTGAGCAGTGGCCATCCTCCTGGGGGACCACTGCTGTAGTTCCCTGAGGTGTGAAGCGAGGAGATTCATGGCCCTGAGTTTATTAAGCTCAATGCCTAATTCCCTTCACTTCCCTTTCCTTTATTAATACTCACCTAAATACCAGTGGTGACAACTAAATCGTGCACAATTTAGATATTAGGTAGTCCTACCAATTAGCCCCATGTAGCATGGATTTTAACACCAAGATCTACAGCATAAAAAATAGGATCACATAAATCACAAGTGACATATGTCACTAGGAAATGAAGAAGAAAATCATGCCCACACAGAAATAAAAGAAAGAAAATGGCTAGAAAAAGAAACCAGGACTTCTTTAAAATGAGGTGCTTCCTGTGGCATTTTCATAGTCTTATTTCATATGCTGTTTTTCCATTTTAAAATGTCAATAAAATTTAGATTGTTTTATTTGATTACCATATTACATTCTCATAGTGAATGAAATCACAGGTTGCTACTGTCAAAAAAATTCTAATTTGTAAAACAAAGATGTCGGTAAACCAGCCCCAAGGTAGAACTCGGTCTATATTCTCCTATTCATTTCCAGCATTACCAACATTTACATCATGTATTTGGAGAACATTTTGGAATTCTTAAGCTGCTGTCTCCCCATCTCGGTGAATTCTCACTTTCAAATCCCCAAATGTGACTGTATCTGATGCTGCAGCGACTGCCCCCGGGGCCATCTAGGTAGATCTCGTTAGACCTCCTAGAACTGAGTCAAGAAGGAGATACCTGTATCGCCTCCTTCTCAGTCCTAAAAAGATTAGACAGCCACACAGGACATAGAATAAAAAATGAGATAATGTAAAGTACTTGTCAGAGAGCCCAAAATCGGCAAAAATTTCAATAATTGGTAGCTCCCGTTGTCTCCATTGCCACACAAAGTACCTGAGACATTGCCAAGTTTAAGCTTCCTATTGTCCTTGTTCTGCTTCTATGTTCCTAAGACATTTTCTACTTTTTCCTCATTTCAAATATGGGATTGCTGTAATATTAATCCCATATTATTGTTATTGGGATTAATAATAATTGTTAGGATTAATAATTATTGGCATTAATCCCATATGTATTATTGTAATCCCAAATATGGGATACATGTAATTTTATGTATTTCCTATCTTACAAGAAATCAATGTCTATTTTGAAGATTTAAAATGCTGTAAAAACTTCTGGGATCATCCTCATCCTTCTTTGACAAAGTAGCCCAAATTTGATTCACATGCTTTGCCTGTCCTTATCAATTCTCTTCCCATGGAGTTGGTGTGAGAAAAGCATGAAAATAGGGAATGTAAAAAATGAAGTCACTTTAACCAAGCTGATAAATATATTAACATTATGACTGATGGTTGAAGCACAAGGAAACAATTCTAGTCTTGTCCTAACTTTCCTGGGAACAAAAATTTTTGAGCCTCCTTATCTCATGTCCATATGTGGGTATATATCAGTTTGTTGTGGATACCTGGACCTACACCAGACCTCCAGGTAACCGTCTGATTACCCGCTGAGGGATTCGCGTATCCAGATCTCAGGATGTGCATCTGACGTCTGTGGTCCTGATACAGGGTGCAGCCAAGGGGGGAAGCCCCCCAAAAAAGGTTTGGAATGGTGTCCAGAACTCGAAGTGCATAGGAATATTGGAGAGACATATAAGATGTCCTCACCCTTTCCCCCACAGGTGTGAGTTGGGGGAAGGGACACATGGAGCAGGAACATGCAGGGCTGTTTTGTACAGCCACAGCCTTGCAGCTAATCCATGGCATGGTCATTTAACATATATATAGCCTTTGGCGGTCACTTGGATATGTTAAATGGCTGTGGCCAAGCTTGGAGCTAGGGGGGATGAAGTCACTTCCCCCAAGATGTAACTGGGGGCAGGTCCCCCAAGTCACAGCACCTGCGTGGGAGCTTGGAGAAGATTGGCTCTAGGACATGGGGCCACACGTGCCCAGACTAACGATGGCAGCCCAGTAAACTTGTAATAATACAGAAATACTGTCAGGTGTAACTTATTGTGGGAGGAGTTGAAAATAGGGGTACAGAGAAAGATTGGCATGGGATTTAAACCTAGACACAGTAGCCATTGGGAGAGAGCCATGCAGTTTGGGGCAGAGTGAGGACCCCCTCTTGGCGAGGTGAAAGAGGGAGCCATGAGATTTTGGCAGAGCACAGACCCCCTCTTTCCCAGGTGAAAGGGAAAACCATGCAGCTTTGCCAGAATGGAGATCCCTGAAGCCAGGTGAGGGAGAAAGACACATGCTTTTGGTGGAGTGCGGACCCCTGCAGCTTTGGTAGAAGAGGCCCACGCGGCTTTGGGGTGCCCCCTTTGGCTGTGTGGCCTGGAAAGCAGGAGAGACTTTGACTGGAACTTGGTACAAAGAACTCTTGCCAGTGGAAGGTGCCGCAGGACTCTGGGTTAATTGGAGATCCTGCCTGGACAGCGACACAGCTGACTATACCAGCAGCCTGGAAAAACGGACTTGTGCTCTTTTCCTGATTTACGGTACCCAGAGTTGGGACAGGGGGAGAAG